TGAAGCAAAAATGTTTGCCAAGTAGTAATGGAAAGTACTAAGTGCTTAGTACTCAGACACAGGAAACCATTAACTATGGAGACTTTCTTTAAATGACTTACAGGATGTCTCCCTGCCCCACACCCAGCCCTGTTTTGATATATATTAGTTAATTTAAAAGATTCTGAGCCAGGTGTGGTGGCACATGCTGTGGTACTAACAACCAGGAGACTGATATAGAAGGCTGACAAGTTGGAGGCCAGTCTTGCCTTGTTGTGGTTGGGGTTTCTAGACACCATGACAATGGCAACTAATAAAGAAAACATGTAATTGAGGTGGCTTGGCTACAGTTTTAAGAGGGTCAGTCCGTTGTGATCATGGAGGGAAGCATGGCAGTGTGCAGGAAGATGTGGTGCTGGAGTAGCAGCTGAGAGCCCTGTATCTTGTAGGCAACAGGAAATCAACTGAGACACTATACAGTATCCTGAGCATAGGAAACCCCAAAGCCTGTCCCCACAGTGACACACTTCCTCCAAGAAGGTTATACCCACTCCAACACAGCTATAACTCTGAATAGTGCCACTCCCTATGAGATTATGAGGGCCAATTATATCCAAACTACCTCAGGGCTATGTAGTAAGACCCTGCGATTGCTGGGTATAATGATGAATACCTATAAGCCTCCTGCTCAAAAGGCTCAGGCCAAAGTATTTGTGTAAGTTTGATGACAGCCTGGGTGACATAGTTAAAAAAAAAAAAAAAAAAAAAAAAAAAGATGTAAAAAAGGGAAAACAATTTCCCTAGGGACAGATTTCTCTTTAAACCTATAATGGCATAAGGGCTCCCTCTATTAAAACACCTCTTTCCTTGCTCTATTCTTCCCCCGACTCAGTCTTCTTGATCCCTCATGTTCTTCTCTCCCACCGCTCTTGATTTTTGGCTAGTTGTTAAGCTGCACAGGTGGAGAGACACTATGAAGGATTGGAAGACAATTGTTGCTGAAGACTGTAAACTGAGAAGACATTCCAGCAGTTGCCAGACACAGATACATAGAGCAATGTGTCCCTGGAGAGAGCTGGTGAAAACTATGCTGTTTAGCTGAAATGCCAGGAGGGCCATGCATAGGAACTAACAGCAAGGCCCCAAGAGTAAAGGCAAGACAAGCAAGATCCATAATAATAAATTTAAAAACAAGACTAACAAAACCAAGGCAATCAACCTGTCTAGCTACTTGTTAGAACAAAATCCCAAACTCTGCTGAGGCTGAGAAGTTAGTCTGAAGACTATATACATCTCACGTGCAAGGCATGCATACAAAACAGGACTTTCTAAAATGGCTGATAATCAGGAAAAACTGACTTACAATAAAAGTTCACATAGTCCCTAGGTGCAGGTCCTGAGATGATCCACATGTTTATGTTAACATTAAAAAAAAATCAAAAACAAAAAACAAGCAAGCAAGCAAACAAACAAACCAAAAAACAAAAACAAAAACAAACAAAAAAAACCCCAAAGAAACAAACCTGTTCTAAGTTAATAGATGTTGACAATGCATCTAACACATTGAACACCAGCTGAGCATAGCATGCTGTTGGCTTATGATATTCTGTGTCTGTGAATAGCCATTGCCACTATTGTCCAGCATCACAAGAGGACCATGTCATATATCATTTCTGTCAAAAAGATTGAGATTTCAGTGATGGTTTCTACTTAGTGTATTATAGGGGAGGAAAAAATAATGCAACTAACTGAGTGTCTTAGTAAGGATTTCTTTTGCTTTGAAAAGATACCACGACAACTTTTATAAAGTAAAATGTTTAATTGGGGTGACTTGCTTACAGTTTCAGAGGGTTTAGTTCATTGCCATTGTGATGAGGAGCATGGCAGGATGTAGACAGATGTGGTGCTGGAGTAGTAGCTGGGAGTTCCATCAGCTGAGACACTAAATAATATCCTGAGCATAGGAAATCTCAACGTCCACCCCTATAGTAATACACTTCCCCTAAGAAGACCATACCACCCCAACAAAGCCACACCTCCTAATAGTGCCACTCCCAATGAGATATGGGAACCAAGTACATTCAAACCGCCAGCCGAGTTTATGTGTACAGTGTGGACCTGCCTACTTTCAGTGTTCTGAGAGAGGAAAGAGAGACAGGAACACAAAAGCATCATTCAAGGGAATAGTATGTTGTTGGATTTTCTTTTACTCAAGCCCCGTTTTGGTTCATCAAAACATTGTTTTTTCTACTCTTTTTGCCCTTTGGTCTTTACTCTTTTTGGGGGTCTGACACCCAGCTCCCAAATAAATCACACATGGAGGCTTATTCTTAATTTAAAAAGTGCCAGGCCTTACCTTGGCTTGTTTCTTGCCAGCTTTTCTTAAATTATCCCAACCACCTTTTGCCTCTGGGCTTTTTCCTTTTCTTACTTCTTTATACCTTATTTTAACTTATAGTCCATGGCTGGCTGGGTAACAGGCCCCTGGAGGAGTACTCCTCATTTCTCCATCTATTTCTGCTCTCTGCCTGCCAGCCCTGCCTATCCTTTCTCTTGCCTCACTATTGGTGGTTCAGCTCTTTATTAGACCATCAGTTGTTTTCGACAGGCAAAGAATCACAGCTTCACAGAGTTAAACAAATGCAGCATAAACAAATGCCACACATCTTTACATCATATAACAAATGTTCCAGTGCATAAACGTGACACACCTTGAAATAATATTCTAGAACAGTAGTGCTCATGCCTTGATACCAGAGGAGATGCCTTACTCCAGATTCCTCAACCTCATAGAAACATGTAGTCCATTGAAAGAATATTTTTGTTGATAAATAATGATGATATTACTGATGTTAAATGTAGAAAAAAGAACTCCCAATGGAGCTGGGTTGTAGTTCATTTGGTAGAATGAGAAAGCATCAAGGGCTGGGTTCATTCCCTGCACTGCCTAAATTGTGTATGGTATTACATGTCTGTAATCCCAGTACTTGGGCAGTAGAGAGATATGAGGATCAGGGATCAAGACCGAGTTTGAGGTCAGCATAGTCTACATGAAATCCTGTGTTTAAAAAAAATAAAAATAAAAATAATCTTCTAAAAGCTGGCAGAGAACAAAGGCACATTGGGGGTAGTAAGAATAATGGTGGAATTCTTATTGGTGTGATGAGGCCAGAGAATAATAGCTGAAACTGCAGAAAGTTTGGAAGAAAAATAAGATTATCCCTCTGTACTTATCAATATATACTTAGTATAAGTGTACTATAGGAAAAAAGGACGAGATCCCATTGCTAACCATGATACAGTAACTAGTGCCAGCCTTGATCTTGAGTCCTAGACTAGATGCTTTATGTTGGACAGTGGGCAGTGCAGGGTGGTGATCCCAGAGAAGGAAGATAATCAGAGCCCCATAATCTCCTGCTGTTGAACCCTGAAGAATGACCAGAGCTTGGGACGAAGTGACTGCTGTATTCAAGGAAGTAGTTTAATGTTGAAGAAGCCATCCTGAGGAATAGAGAGAGAAACACGCATTGAGATTCCTGGGAATTTTTGCACATGTGAAGTGAAATCTATGAGATCAGGCAAACAAAATAATAATAAACAGATGACAAAAAAGTGCCAATGTGTAGGAAGGTGAGCAGTTACCAGGATTTAGACAAAGAGGGGGAAATGTTCAGACTCCACTTCCCCCAAAACCTTCAGTAAAGACACCAAAAGGGTAGCAAGTCAGGGCCTAAGTTGATCATTGGCCTGAGGTATCTCTATCGAGCCTCCACAGTTATATGTTGGGGTAAAGAGGGGTGACAATTTCCTGTTTAAGGAGGAAGAGAGCTTAAAGCTGTGATCCCAAAGAATCACATTCCATGACAGGATCCATAATAAGGAAAGTGTGGTGCAGGTGTGACTACAGTTGGCGTGGGTGTGGCTACTGGTTAGCCTACAGAGCAGCCTATTGTTTCTGAGAATATATTTGTCCTAACAGCATTTCTTTTTCTTCTTTCCTCTTTATGGCCCTAGAGATGAATCCCAAGGCTTCAGGCACCATTAGACAAGTGGTCTGTCATTAAGCTTCCCAGCCCTTCAGAATAGAACTTACAGTGGATATACAAAAGGGTTACCTAACACCAAGAATGGCCACTTCTGATGCAAAGTAGGAAAGTATTTAATGGTGTCATCCAGGAGCATAAACTGTATTTGTAATATTAGTGAATATATACATGCATTGAGTGCTTTCATAAAGGTAGTTAAACTAACTTTATGTCTGTTTTTAAAATTAGCTTAGAATTCTTTTGTAAATCCCAAAGTTTTCTAAGTAAACAAAATTCACCCTTTTACATTTTGGAGGCTGTTTTTGGTTTGAGTTTATTGACAAGTCATAGAGCAATAGATACTAGTTTATATCTAAAGACTATTATTGCTAGAATTTGTAAAGAATTTTTTGTAAGATACTTTTTCAAGTTTATTCTCTCTGTAACACTCTTTCTCAGTTTACTTCCCATTTTTGAATATTGCTTGTCTATTGTTAATCTTTAAAATATGGTGCTTGGTTCCACAGCTGGGTTTTGTTAATATAGCTTAGTGTTCTAATTGCCATGACTGGCAGAATTGGAGTCACTATTTAAAATAATTGCTGTTAATATGCTTAGTTCCAAGGATATTAGATAATGAGTATCATGATAGGGAAAACCTTAAAGAAATTCCAAATTGAAGAGTAGAACAAGTTATTTAAACTTTCATATCTGGGGATATCCACAGTTGATAGAGTGCTTGCCTAGAATGCACAAAGACCTCAGTTTGATCCCAGCACCATATAACCTAGGCATGGTGGTACCCACCTAAAACCTCAGCACTGGGTGGTCCACAAAGTAAGATTACAAATTCAAGGTCATCCTTGGATATGCAGCAAGTACAAAGCCATCCCGGGATAAGTGAGACACTGTCTTAAATAAACAAATGAATAAATAGGTTTAGATGGCATTCCGTTTTAATCCAGTAACTTTCTGGTTTACATGTTTGCATTTCAGGGAAAGGTGGCCCAGACAGCCTGTATGTCAGCTTGCAAGCATTTAGCCACATCCTTGATGCAACTGTTGTTGGAAGCAGAAGTAAGGCAACTCACTCTGGGAGCATTGCAGCAGTTCAACCTGGATGTCAGAGAATGTGAACGTAAGTCAGTGAACCCCTTTTGCTTGCTTGTTTTATAAACTTACATTGTCACTGATGTAAAAGGAAACTTTTAGGTCTATTAAGTCAATCTTTCTCATGGTGTCAAAAATAATTGGATGATAAAGGCCTCATATAGGACCTTTTGTTTTTTGGGTTTCTGGGTTTTTTGTTTTTGTTTTTTTTTTTCTTTCAGCTTTTCTAAAAATATGTTTTTAATTGAAATATAATTATCTCTCTCCCCCCTTTCGCACTTCAGCAGCCCCTCCTAACTATCCTGTTTTGAACCTCATTCATGATCCCTACACCTCAGAAGTTGATAGCCCCCTTTACTTAAATTATTATTGTTGAGTACATATGTGTCAATGTAGTTGAAAGTTTCTGTTCTGCCTTTTTTTTTTTTTTTGTTAAACTGTTAGCCGATGGCTAGGGCTTCTTACTGGCTAGCTCTTTCTTAATTATTAACCTATAATTACTAATATATGTATTTCTACATGCCCTTATCTTGCCAGAGAATGCTGGGTGTTTCCTGTGTTATTTATGCAGTGGTATCTAGGAGAGATTTTCACAGAAGATGCCATCATATTCTGTCTCTCACAGTCTCTCTGCCCCATCTCCTGCCATGCTCCTTGTGCCATAGATCTGTGGCCTGTATTATAGGTGTGTCCCTTTCGGCTGGGCTCTCCATGGCCAGCAGTGTAGTTTCATCTCCTTCAGACTCTTTCTAACGCTTATCTGTTACCATTTTTAAAATTAATGTATACAAATGTTTTTCCTGCATATGTGTGTGTGTGTATATGTATATGTATATGTGTGTGTATATGTATATGTGTGTGTGTGTATGTATATGTATGTGTGTGTGTGTGTATATGTATATGTGTGTGTGTGTATATGTATATGTGTGTGTGTGTGTATATGTATATGTGTGTGTGTATATGTATATGTGTGTGTGTGTATATGTGTGTGTGTATATGTATATGTGTGTGTGTGTATATGTATATGTGTGTGTGTATGTATATGTGTGTGTGTATGTATATGTGTGTGTGTGTATATGTTTATGTGTGTGTATATGTATATGTGTGTGTGTATGTATATGTATATGTGTGTGTGTATGTATATGTGTGTGTGTGTATATGTATATGTGTGTGTGTATGTATATGTGTGTGTATATGTTTATGTGTGTGTGTGTATATGTATATGTGTGTGTGTATGTATATGTATATGTGTGTGTATATGTATATGTGTATGTGTGTGTATATGTATATGTGTGTGTGTATGTATATGTATATGTGTGTGTGTATATGTATATGTGTGTGTGTATATATGTATATGTGTGTGTGTGTATGTATATGTGTGTGTGTGTGTGTGTGTGTATGTATATGTGTGTGTGTACCACATACATGCCTGGTGTCCACTGAGGCAAGAAGAGATCATTGGATCCCCTGGATCTGGAGTTACAGATGGGAATTGAACTGTATCCTCTGGAAGAAAAGCCAGCCAAACTGCTGAGCTAGCCCTTCAAACTGTGTTGTCTTCTTGTAATAGCTAGTTCTACCAATGTGCAGTGATACTTCATGTGGCTTTGTGTGTCTCCAGCCATTTTAGTATACCTATTAATCATTTATCATTCATATCACCTTTTAAGAAACATCTATTCAGATGTCTTGTCTGTTTAAAAACAACAAAAACAAACAAAACAAAACAAAACAAAAACACCCAAAAACCAAACTCAGCGGTTGTTCACTACAGAGTTATCTGAGCTTCTTACATATATTTTAATATGTAAGCCACACGTAGTCTTTCCCTACTGTAATTAAGCCTGGCAGTAAGACCTGATGTGAAGCCATTCTGCAAGTAAAATAAACAATCTTTGGAAAACTCAGTCATTTTTGAAGGAAGAAGACACATGACACACTCACCACCATGTAGCAGCCACAAATTTATACTAAAAACAAACAAACAAAAACAACTTAAGTCACATGTAAGGAACTGTAAAATATGACAGCTAACAGAATCTGCAATATACAAGAAGTACAAATGAGCCTATTAATGATACAGATGTGGAAATGTGTGTTAAAAGAGTTTTAGAAATCACAATGTAATAAACTGAGTAACTTAAAAAGTTAGGTGGTATGATCCCAGCTACCAGGAGGTTAGAGGCAGGAGCATTATTATGAGTTCAACTTCAGCCTGAGGTGGGCTACATAGTGAACTCCTGGGCAATCTGGGCTATTAGAAAAGACTTGCCTCCAAAAATATAATTATAAAGGATATAATACATGACTGATGGGGAAAAAAATTTCCACATTTAGGAAAAGGTACTGACCTCATTTTTCTCATGAAACTTAAAAGAATATCAGGTTAAGCGCATGTGAAGGCACGTGCGCACATGCACGCACGCACACACACACACACACACACACACACACACACACACGTAAAAGCATAGTCAGATTACTAGCTAAACAGTATAATTCTTTCTGAACCAATTATTTGCTAGCAGGATGGAAGCTTACTTGTTGGCTAGAGAAATGAAAACTGATTGCTGGAGTCAATTACAAAGCCATCTTCTTGAGTTGAAGAAAGAGTGAGTAGAAGCTCATTGTGTTAGGAAGAAAAGAGGCTTAAGTTAGATGCCTGTCAGTTCCACTGGGAAGGAAAGCATAATGAATGACAGGAAATGACCTATTGACTGTGTCACTGTGTTTTCATAAAGCCAAGAGACACAGTGGGTATTGGGAGATACAGTGAAGCATAAGTACTAAGAGGAGAAATGTACTTAGAGGAGCACAATGAGAAAAATGTTAACTCTTAGAGCCTGATCCTCAAGTATGTTGTACTTAGACGAATGAACAACTTCTTTTTTGTGGGACTTTTAGGTGTGTTCATGTACTCAGTGCAGAGGTAACTCTCCATTAAGAGTTCAGACATCATCCACTTAAGAGCTGGGAGCACATTAGTTTGCTTACTATTTCAAAGAGGTTTCAGATTCCCAAGAGCCATTGTTTTGGGTGGAAGGTCATGTAGTATTGGAATAGCTTCAGACTTAGTTCATATGCAGGGTACCCACTCAAGGGCCTGACAGTCTTACCAATAAAACTAGCATCATCATTCAACTTGAGACTACCTGTGGTTGGTCCTTTGACTGAGAATGGTCTCCATAGGCTCAGATGTTTGAATATTTGGTCCTCAGTTGGTGGAACTATTTGAGAATATTTAGGAGGTGTGGCCTTGCTGGAGGAAGTGTGTGACTGGAGATAGCTTTTGAAGTTTCAAAAGCCCACGCCATTCCCATTTAGCCCTTCCTGCCTGGTGCTTATGAATCAAGATGTAAGCTCTCAGCTACTGGCCTACCACCATGCCTGTCTCATTGTCTGGCATACTCTTAGCCATGATGATTGTGGATTCTAGCTAACTTCTGTGAACTATAAGCCCCAGATAAACTCTTTCTTCTGTAAGTTGTCTTGGTTATGATGTTTTATCACAGAATTAGAAAAGTAACTAAGACAACACTGAAGGGGCCTGAAGTTTTACTAAAACTTAGTGTCAGCATTCAACTTGAGACTAACCATAGAATGGCCTGACACCCCCACTTCTAGCCCTAGCATCAGCAGTAAAAATCTTTTCTATATATTGAAGAGCCACCAAGCTTCATTGACTTAGGATTTAACATTTCATTTCTGACTGTCAGTAATTTATCTGTCAAGAAACTTTGCATGGACATTTATTTCACTTGAAAAGAAAGAAATTCTATTCTATGCCTTTCCCTATACCACCCCCTTCATTTTTTTTATTTCAGATGCTCAGTGGTCTATAAAAAATTCTTAAAGAATTGATACATAAAATTCAAATAGTTAGACAGAGGCGTATAAAAGAAGCCCAATGACAAGTTAATTAGCACTTGCATCTTCCTACCCACTGGTGTATGTGAAAGTTATTTTCTCCTTTTTGTCTGTAAGTCCTTGGAGGAAGTGTCTAAGTCCTGAAAGAAAACTGTGGACAAGATGGAATATGGTGCGCACTGAAATTTCTTACTCTTAAGTCCTGTGCTGCTATTTGCATAGATCCAGAGTACAGGCAGGAGTCAGACATACTATGAGCTAAGATACTCTGCTAGGATAGTATCATCTTGGTCAGCTTGACAGAATAGAATTCATGTTTCTTTTAGGTTGACCATACTGGCAAATTATTTAGTACCTTACAATCTTATTTACAAAATGGGAATAATTACTAATATTGTAGGAATGAATTTAAGGTTAAATAAACTAATACATGGCAGGCTTATGGTGACTGGATAGTAAATGCTTTGTTACCTTAGTTATCATCTTCAGAGCAGTAGTAGCAGTAAGCCTAGATCCTGTCAGTGCAAGATTGTTTGAACACTGTCTGGAGTTTGTGACTCAGCTAAGTGTAAAGGTGCTATTTAGTTTAATATAAAAATTAACTTGTGATACTTCAGAACTTGAAGATATGATCCGTAACTGACAGCTTGATGGTTTTGTAAGACGTCACCCAGTAGTGCCCTGTTCTCTAAAAGTGGTAACGGTTGCCTCGGTTATCGCCCCCTGAAAGATGTGATGCTGACAGGTCATTCTTAGTGGAAGGCCATCAGACCGAGTACCTGAAAGGTATAATTGTTAAGGAGGCACAAGAAAATTGTTCCTATACTTTTAAAAGTTACCAGTGAAATCTGGGTTTTCTGACATGTATAGATTTCATCTTGCATTTTGTATTAATTACTTTCTATTTGGCTGTCATCAAATACCTGATCTTAAAGGTGGTAAGGGTTTGTTTTGGCTTACAGTCTGAGGAGATATAGCCCATCATAGCAGGGAAAGGTGTGGCAGCAGGGTCTGAGGCTTCTGGGTCACATTGTACCTGTACCTGCAGTAAGGAAGCAGAGAATAGACCGGGGGGGGGGGGCAGGCTATCTGATCTCAAGCTTCCTCCCATCCCCAGCAACTCACTTCCTCCAGTAAGGCTCCACAGTCTTCCTAATCGGT